TTGAATCATATTTTGATTGTTGTGACCCAATCGTAGATGCCAATGATACAATGAGTTTGGATAAATTGCTTTTCATTTAACATTCAATCTAGATGAAGTTGCATTTAATTTATAATTTTGCATTTGATATGAGCTAGGAGTTAAAATATATATACTATCTTTCAATGCACCAGAAGTTATAACACGACCATTTAATTTAAATATAAACATTTTTTCCAAAAGTAAAAATATAGTTTTTGCAAACCAACGAAGAAACTGAAATTAAATTGTGCCTAACATCTGGCGCATAAAGACAATCTTCTAAAATAAGACTCCTCCCACTATCAAACTGCATATGAACCACTCCCACTGCTTTAGCTTCCACCTTAGCATTAGATCCCATATGCAAGTATATCTCTCCTTCATTTAGGCTTTTGGACTACTGGAATCCCTGCAATGAATTGCAAACATGATTGGTGGCTCCAGAATCTATGCACCAGGAATCTATAGATTCAACCACAGTACATGCCTCAACAATGAATATACCTTTTGCTTTGCCTTGCGTGCGAAATGTTAGGCAGTTAGGTTTCCAGTGACCCGATTGACCGCAATGGAAGCAATTTCTTTCGCCTTCAACCCGCACTTTCTTCTTTTCCTTATCCTTTTGGATTACTTTGTTTGGCACAACCACAGTTTTGGCACCATCCTTCTTCTTTTTCTTGCCCATCCTCTTGGGCCTAGAAGTGGATGGTCCAGCAGACTGAGTGTAGTTGATAGATGCACCATTACTTTTGATTATCCCTTCAAAGGTTACCAACTCATTCAGAAGTTCAGTGAGTGAGTACTCAAGCTTATTCATAGAATAATTAACCCTAAAAGAGTTAAATGAGTCTGGCAATGAAGCGATAATCATGTTAACCTGAAGTTCACCATCCAAGTTGCATCCAAAGATCTCAAGTTCATTTAGAAAACCAATCATTTTTGAAGCATGTTCCCGAACTGAAGTACCTTGGACCATCTTGATGGTCATCAAGTTTGTCATAGCATTTTGGCGTGCACTCTTACCAATTTGCCCAAACATTTCCTTGAGGTTAAACATGATGTCTGCAGAAGTGAGATATTGAAGATGTTGACTTTGGAGTACATTCGAGAGTGAAGCAAGAATGTAGCACCTAGTCATCTCATCTGCTTTATTCCATTTCTTAAAAACTTCATGCTCCTCAGGAGGATCCCCAGGCAAAGGTGGAGAAGGTCCGAGAGCAGTAAGCACATAATTCAACCCCTCATATGTGAGTATAATATCTAGTTGCCTTTTCCAATCGATATAATTAGGTCCAGTTAATCGATTTTCTTTTAGTACGTTTGCAAGTGGACTGAATGGACTAGTCATGATAAATCTGAAAATAAAAGTATTCATACAATAAATAAAGTGAATAAAAATAATCATACAAGAATAAAATATTTAATTAATTGTGGGTCCCTTAACCACATTGCATGAAAAATCGGACGATCAATATGCCAATAACTTATCTGGTTGGCGGAATTCATTATTGCTTATTGACGAGAACAACTCATTATTTCCATATCTCTTTAGACAATGCCTTATCTATATATGAAATAATTCCCGATTAGGTTTAGCCTTTCTAAAATCACCTAGTATAGACCACTCCGTTGGGGAGCTAATACTATTGATTTTAGATTGAGTGTATAACGTAATTAATGCTCCAACGAAAAATCAAATATTAAATATATTGCCATTAATAGCTTAAACTCTTTAAATCATGCGTAGGGCCTTATTTTTAAAGATTTAACTATAATAATCATTTAATAAATATATTTTCGTGAGACAACCATTATTGTAATCTAGACTCTTTAAATTATGCGTGGGGCCTTATTTTTAAAGATCTAATCACAATGGTTATAATTACGAAGGCCATGGGGTAATGTATAAAAATCCCCGCTCCCACTCAATTTTTAGTTAAATATAACTAGGGTTTTTTATTCATGATTTAATGCATACAAAACGCCTTGATTTTAATCTAATTAAATTTAGAAAATATATGGATTTGAAACGATTCACTAATATTTAATTTGAGGCATTCTGTTAAAATAATTTTCAAAAATAATTTTTTTCCGTTTCTCAATAAATGCCCTCAAATTAATTAGTAATCCAATTCAATTTATCTTCATAATTTAATTAATATAAATCAAGCCATTTAGATAAAAAATCATGGATCCAATGCATGAACAATTATAATTAGTATTAAATTATTCCATGCATCACATAAATAAGTAAACTACAGACAGAAATAATTTAAATGGCCAATGGATTCAGCTTTAACATTTAAATATTATTCTTGCTGTATGGGTGTCCTTCATCAGTCTGAAAACGCCTATAGGAAGCTGGTACGCATTAGGAGAAGCAAAACGCTGCTTGGAAAGCACCTAGAGGGCCCCACACGTGCTTGCACGCGCCTGGGGCATGTTGCAGGGCTAGGCACGTGCCCCTACGCGCTGGGATGGGCCTGGGGCACGTGGGACGCACCCCTACGTGCTGGCACGCGCCTGCACGCGCGTGGAGGATAATATAGCCTTGGCTGGCGCGTGAGATCCACGCGCCAGCATGCCTTCACTTCGCCACCTCCTGGCGCAAACACTCGCTAGGCTCACACTCCCTGCACCACATCTGATTCGTGCCTCCTCCAACGTCCCTTCTCGCCGCCGGCGAATCTCCGGCCACCGGAAAAATGCCGAAAAATCAGAAAAATTCCTAGAAAATTAAATTAAGCCTAAAAAAATTTCAGAAAATTACTGAAGCATAATTTAACCCTTTCGAACCCTCTTGAAGCTTCATAGCATCCTTTAATGAATATTACATGGCTTTAATAAACACTTACAATTTGAAATACAATGGAAAAAACTAAATTACATCATTGAATTTTCAAACGGCTAAATCAAAGCCTTAATTACATTCATCCAAAAATAAAATTACATTCAATATACCTATAAGTTTCATCCATGGCCCAAACACACATCATCATCCATTTACAATTATACATACATTATCATGTATCAATATATATCAACATAATAAATCATACATCAACATACATCAATAAATATATATATGCATATATGATTTGGATCCATGAAGATGATTTTTAAAAACACATGTTCTCTAGTAATGAATCAAACCATGCGCTCTGATACCACTGTTGGGAAACGTGCAAGCTTTTAAAAAACTTTTGAGGGATTTGCAATCATGGATCTTAATTCATCACATAGAGACAAGTTTTATGCAAAAACAAATAAAAGATAATGTATGATTCAATAAACAGATTGAATACTTACATCAAAAGTCTGAGTAAACCTTTTAATCTTTCCTCTAAAGCGAATGTTCTCACTTATTGTAGATCCCTTTAGCAAGATCATTTCTCCTTCTTCTTGATTATAATCTTCCTTTTAGGAATCACCAATATATCTTGATGAATGACCTTGGAATCTAGGCTTGTGGTAGCCTCCTTTTAGAAAAGAAAATAAACCCTAAAATCTAGAGAGAGAAAGTGTATTCCTTTTTCTTGTTCTGAAAGTCACCTACAAAATATACATGGACCTATGTATATATAGGCAAAATAAAAATAAGAATAAGAAAACAATAAATCATTCTACATCTCTAAATCAACTTTCTCAATTCTAACAGGACCCAATATCAACTTGGGCTATTGGTGAGAATCCTTTTGGGCTTACTATTTTCTTGGCTCCTATAAATTAATAATTGGTCCGGTCCATTAAACCATAGACCCCATTCAATTAATTTATAAATTAATTTCTACTCCGGCCACTAAAAGAAATTAATTGCACTCCAATTAAATAGTAAATAACCTCTCAGTCAATGTTGCACTTTGACCCCTCTATGCATAATTATTTATCGGATAATTAAAGCCATTAATCCGACAATATAATTAATATAATTATTTTGTTACCTTTGATTATTTCCGTCTTGATCACAATAAAATATTTATTTGACAAAAATAATAATTTACAAAATAAATATATATAGAAAACATTTGTCTAAAACAGACGAAGGCCTTCGAATTTAATTTGTGATCAATCATAATCAAAATAAAATAAATACAAACAGCACTGATGCAAATATTAAGAATATAGATCTCTAACTATTAATTACATAATTACTCAAAATGTCAATTTAAGGATCCCGAGGTATCCGCCGAACAAATTAAAGTAATTATTAATTAATAAAAGAGTCTATACTTCTCTCATACTTGAGAGTCAAAAGCCATGACTGTGATAGAGAGCAATTGTATATGACAGCTCTCACAATATATCTCAATCTATCGTGGACTCGGTTCAAGTCTTAACTAATTAAATATCCATCCATAATTACCGACTTTGAACCATTTATGATTACTAATTTATAACATAGTAATAATTGCCATTACATACATTTATAAATATATCTTGTAATCAAGTGGACACAATTAATTCTATAATGAATCGAAAAATAATACATTCCATTCACCAATTGTATAATGCTTTAATGGTAATATTCAGATAAGGAATCATGACTTTTACAATCCAAAATAAGAATTTGCTATGCTAGGACACACATATCCCAACATGTACTACACTCTCATTTTATATATAATATTGCTCGAACTTCTAAAGAAAAATATAAAAATAGAAACTTTTGTTTTTGCACATCCCTCTAAAATATTAAGAAGTGTTGCAAATAATCAGATTTGGTTTGCAGACCCTCAAGAATGCATGGAATTGGCGCTTTGAAGTTGTAAAATTCCTATCATATCATTTTTTGATAATTGCAAAAAAATTTCCCAACTTTCACAAATTAATCATGGATTACCATCCTCGACTTTTGGTTTTTTCATCACTCCCTCAAGGTACTAATTAGAAACGCTTCGAATTAAATCCTTGAAATTTGATATGTTTTTTCCCTTGCAGTTTACCCTGTTTTTCTTCCGTCATGGGTAAAATGGTAAATAACTAATAAAATCAGCATAAATTTATGATTAATTAATGGGATTGTAAAACCAGTATTCTATATCATAAGCACTTTCGTATCAATAGTAGGAGATATATAGTCCCTTGCACATAGTATCAATACTATGGCATTACATATATGCATGCAGATCATGCATGCGCAGATTAACCTAAGAAACTATTGCAGAACAACATTCCGGATGGAAATTTATTGTGAATTGAAATGACTCAACATCAAAGTTTAAACATGCACGGACATCCAACGAAATACGTAGTAATATTTAAAGCAGCACACGAACTCTCATTTAATCGGAATGATCAGAATGCTGGTCACTTTTCGAGGTTTCTTTGTCTTTCTTCTTCTTCTCCTTCTTTCCATGCATACGGTGGTGTTCGTGTTCGTGTTCGTGTTCGTGTTCGTGTTGGTGTTCGACGTAGTCTGTGATCTCCAAATGAACACCAGGGTCGTTGGTGTTGTAGCTGCCACTTAGCATGAGTGAATTGTTGATGGCTTGGAAGTTGCTGTTCACATAGGTGCCCAATGCATCATTCTCACCTTCTTGAGGCTTGTCGTCTAGCTCGCTCCGCATTGTGGCTCCGGTGTTGGTTCCGGTGAGGGTGATGATACTCACGCCGTGGTCATCATCGCACTCGGTGGCATGGTGGCTCGAACCAGGCTTGTGAACGTGTTGGAGATTGGTCAGGCGATGGGCTAGTGCAGAGATCATCTCTCTGATCTCGCGGTCAAGGTGTTTTTGGCCCTCTCCTTCGGCCGGTAGAGTTGAAGTAGGCTTGATTGGTTCAGGAGGCATCGTTTCTTTGGTGAAGAGAGAGAGAGGAGGAGGAGGGGGATATTAGTTTTGGTATGCAAGACTTACAAATGGTGTTGGTATTTAAAGAGGGGCTGAATATAATATAATATAATATAAGTAGTGTTTGGGGGAATAAAGAAGTGAAGTGCCTTGCTTGCATGGCAATGCAAGGATATATGGATTTAATTTTATTCCCGTTAAAAGAAAAAGAAGTAAAGGATTAGTTAACCATGATGCATCACGTCACCTTTAACAATTCACGCTTTTGTAACTACTACGTTTTATATTTCTACACTGTATGACCGACACACAAGTTTTAGATCGAATAGACCATGTACTCTCAATGACTTATCATCTATAACATAATTCCCTATAGCTTGTTCAAATGAGCCAAATTCAATTACTTATGAGGAACTTAGAATATATTTTGGAAATGAAGAAACTTGGAGACGTTGAACAGAATTTTGATGGTACTAATTGAAATTGTTGCTTGTAATATTGCTATTGTTATTTTTAACATTTGAGTTTCTTCATAGAATTGCTATCTCCGTCTCATATTAGTTGTCCTCCTCAAAAACTTTGACTCACAATTTTTGTGAGTCAAAGTTACCGAAGTAGACATTTAATATGTGATATAGGTAATATATAAGTATATAAAATGAATATTATTAAAAATAATTTCAAATGACTCAAAAATAAAAAATGGTAGTGATCGAGTAAATTTTTTGAATTAAACAACTAATATGGGACGGAGGAGTATCAGATTATACTATTAATTTTGCCACTCAGTAGATCTAAGTTTAAGCTGAGAATATTTAAGAACCCTAACCGTAAAGGCAACACATGGAGATGATATGATAAAATTTCAACTGCAGGAGTTGGAGGAGGAAGTGTCCAAGAGGTTGAAGTTAAATGTTGGAACTTATAAATATACACAGATGATGGTGGTGATCCAATTTTAATTGCCTGTGAAGAGGACTTGCACGATTGTTTGAGTGCTTCCAATTTATTGAATATGAGTACAATCAAAATGTTAATTGCGCTAATTACCGGAATATTATCTTCAACTTGACTAATTATATATGCTATGTGTTGACAGTGGCAGAGTCAAAATTTTTTATTTGGGGTGGCCAAACTTGTACAATGTAATTAAAATTTGGAGTTGTTTTAAGCTATCTGTCATATAATTTTGTTTATAATGTCGTGAGAAAATTCAAAAAAGAATAAAATGCAACCTAAATAAATTTAAAAATTTAATATGAGAAAGAAAAATTCAGAGATGAAACATGAGGTACAAGAAAAAAAAGATATGTAAGAGCTAAAGAAAATCGCATTGTTAGCGAATCATTTTTTCTTCTACAATTGTTTTAATTTTTTAAAAATAAGATTATTATTTTAAAACTTATACAAGAAGTAGGCTCCTAATTTTTTTTTTTTTTTTTTCACAAGATCGATTTGGACTTTCAAGAGTATTGTTGAAATGGTGGTCCAAGTTAAAATTTTCTATAATCTTCAAAAATGTTGGGGGTTCAATTGAGTTTTTCAATAAATTTTAGGACCGCAAGTTATGTTTATTTACGAATTAGTTTTTTTTTGGAGGTATTTAGAAATTTTGAAAATTCTGGGGGAGGGGAACTTAAATATAAGGAATTAACTTTTTATTCAATATGAATCTATTGAATTTTTATCTTTTTACCGAAAATGTAAGAATTTTGCTTTTGCAAGTCGTGAAGGAGAAGTAAAACTCTCATGTCATTTATATATTATTAAAATATTACTACTATTATCTACCTAGAAATTATTATAAAATATCACTATTGCCCCTCACTTAATGGTCTGATCTGTCCCTAATTGTTGTGCAGATTTATTAAATGAATGTAACTATTTTTGTTTTTCTTTCTCTCTCTCTTTGGTTGAATTTTTTTACTTCCAATCTGTTTTAAAATTATATTAAATCAAAAAGAAAATAATAAAAAATAATGAAATAGAGGACTATCCGGTATTTAAAAAATAATTTAATTATGCCGGTTATAGTAATGACATAATATCACTAATTTATTAATGATAAGACCTACTAAAATAAAACTTTTACTTATATGATATGATATGACACAGGTAATAAACTATTAAAGGGGTATAAAAGTGATATTTAGTTCAATGACATATAAGGCCCACATAAAAGATTAAATTTTAAAAATAAAATGTTTGTAATAAATTTTTTTCAATGCATTTTAAATGTATATTTTTAATAGTATATGAACAAAAAAGAAGGGAGAGAAGAATAATTGGCCGATGATAAATGAATATGATTTTAATATATATGTTATAACTAGTAAGAATTACAATAATAATTAATATGTTATTTACTTCATTTAAACCACCTTTAATAGTCATAAATAGCTAACCATAAAAAGGATTTTTTTAAAAAAATTGAGGGGGCCCAACTTTACTTTTTGCATTACCATTAATGGCCATAAATAAGTAGTACAACTTTACTTGTTTACGTTTGGTTTATTTTGCACATAAATACAACTTTACTTGTTTACATTTACTCCGGATAAGAAAAGAAATATTAATTAGTGACATGGAATTAATTAGTGATCATTCCACGGATAAGATAAGAAATATTTGCAATTGAGAAACGTTAACCTTGTCTTCTCTTGTTTTATATGAAATCTAGACCCTAGTGGTAGGATGTTATTTTCATTATTAGATGCTTTATCCGATTCCAAGCTAAAGCTAGTTTACGGTCAAAATCTATAACACTGTATCTCGGAGTGACAGTAATACCCTTACACTTGATTTTAATTTTTGACTTGTTTCTTTTGGGTCATTGCTGTATTTTATATACACTGTGATGGTTTATGCGGTCAAATTATAAATATATTATTATTATTATTATTATTTTTTAATAAATTCAGTCACTTTTTATCCTCTTCCTTATTTATTATTTTTTAATTTAAAAATTCCATAATTATTTTTTAATTTAAAAATTCCATAATTAATAAAGTATTGCACTCTCCTTTGTTTTTTTAAAAATAAATTCAGCCACCTTTTATCCGTTTCCTTATTTATTGTTTTTTTAATTTAGTAAGTTATAAATGCGCCGAATTGTGCCACATCAGCTGTTATAATCATTTGCCTTTGTTTTTTCTCTTACTAATTGCAAATTAACTCTTGAGCGCCCAAGTCACGTTCACTGAGTCACTGTCAAATACATATATACTCAATAAAAAAAGTGAAATACCAAAGACGAGTGGTGGTGTTGTTGTTTGTGTTGGTTGAACGAATTAATCAGAATCCCACTCCGTTTGTTACTCAAGAAATCACTACATCAAAATACAAATTCCTCTCTTTCTATATCTCTCCTCCTTCCTTCTTCATTCAAACTTACTCCATGTATGTATCTCAATATTCAGTTCAGGTATGAGTTTCGATCTGCTCTCTCTCATCATCGACCGGTTTTCAAACTAGATTTTAATGCATTGTTGATAGACTCGATCTGTTCTCTTAATTTGCTTTTTTACATATTCTCTATTCCTATATGAATTTCATGCCTTCTAGGGTATTACATGTTCTTTACTTGTTGACAAATATTGCTTTTCTTGTGCTCTTTATTTGTTGACAGATTTTGTTTCTGTTAGGGTGAAGATACGTAATTTGTCTGCTTGATTCGAATTCGAGTTGCAAATTGGGAATTTTTTTGACCTAAGCTTTTATGCAACTCACCACACAATTATGTGTGTGTGTATATATATATATATGTGATTTTTTAGGATTTGGAGTTTGTTGAGTTCATCTTCAGTTTGCTTTAATAGTTATTGGGGATATACTGTGGTGGATTTGGTGAAATTTGGAGGGTTAGACTAATGGTTCTGGAACTGCTGTTATAGGATTTATAAATCAAATGCTGAATGATGCTTCAGTTGGAAATGGTGTTCCAATGGGTGACCAACACTGTGGTCATCTATCGGATCTTGAGACACAGGGAAATGCGGGGGGCAATGACCACGGCTTAGTGAGAGAATTAGCTGCCAACAACAGTGATCAAACAGTGCTCACCATTATGGTTTCTGATGGGGAATCGTTTGATCAGGTCGGCGTGACTGCAGAACCAGCAGGGAAGTTCACAAAGACCGTGGACTCCCCCGAGGAAGTAGTGGTCAATGTGGAATCTCCTAAGAAATCTTACTTGTCAAGGAATGCAAGTTCTCACGAACAGTGCAGGTATATGGCTTGGCTTGCAAAATGGATTATAATGTTTATTTATATCATATTTAGTACTCTGATTTAAATGTCACGGTTGATGAATCACCATTAAGGTCATAACTTTGGTTAAACCGCATGCTATCATATATTATACTATCTTCTTTCTGGAATTTTTATTCATCAAAACTACATTGGTACCCATTCTCTGATTTACTTGTACGCATACGGTTGTTATTTATTCTTTGAACTATGCAATTATTTTCTATTTTGTCATGAAATGTCACACTGAGAATAATGAAGTCCACATCATGGTTCCCACTCTTTTTATCCATTATAAACTTGGGACTGTCAAACCACAGAGTTTTGAACCATTGGTGCAGTCTGTTCACAGTTTTGAACCATTCCCTATCTTGCAGGCCTTTTCCCCTCCTTATCACCTAATACCTTACATCGGCTTGTTGTCCAAAACATTGTTTTCCTAAATTTCTATCATCCTAACTCCTTGAACCTACCTAATTGCAACATCTTCCAATCTATAGCGTATTACATTTCTTTCTCATGTTTAAACCCCAGCCCTAGAAGTTTACTCTTAGTTTCAAGTTTTGTCTTAAATGAGTTGTGGTTTTGGAACTTGCAAGAGAGTGCTTCTTTGCACTTGTCCTATAACACTCTAGAGGAACTCAAGGAAGGCTAAGAAATTACTGAGATGGAAATGCCTCAAACACTAGCAAAACTTGCATAAAAGGATGCTAAATCATGGAAATGCTTGGGACAAAGGCATGCCTAGCTCCCCCAAAAGCCTCATGCTTGTCAAGCTCGACCAAAGCACCTTATTTTACTATTGGCGTGGACCCGTTGGGCAGGTTAATACAAATCCCTGAAGTGCACATCTATTATTAAGATCAAGAGAAGCATGCCTTTATTATTTTTAATCATCCAATCATATATATATTTTTTCTCATTATTTATGGCCTTTGATGGACATGTTTCCTATCATGTCATGGTCTTATGCAATAGATCATATTTTCTGATTATATGGGACATCTTTTATTTGGGGATTCACAGGGTTATTGTTGACTACTTGAATTAAAAGTCTTGTGCTTGATTTCTTAAATATTTATAATAATCTACTATTTGTTTCACATTTCTATACATTTAAGTTTTTTTTTTAAAAAAAATTATTATTCTGCATTTGCAGTAGAATTTGAGTCTGTTGATGCATATCAAATTGCAAGAATATTGTCACATTTAATTAGCTAACACATTAGCTAACCCTCCTTGTCGATATATAAAAAAAATTCAGCTTTTCTTTCTAACTTCCTGAGTAGTTTGTGTTGCATACTTTGAATTTCTTTAATTGTGCATTGATATACATGAATGTTCCTATGCTAAAAACTCTCTAAACTTTCTCCGTCTCTCTACATATATATATATATATATATTTCTAGACTAATTTGTGTTGCATATTTACAAATTCTTTAATTGATTGATAATTTATTTCAGTAATACTGTGGCTTATTTCAGTCAAATCTGTGCTTATGCTTTGCCTTGCATTTAAATCTTAGGAAACCCTTGTTTCGTAGTGCTCCTTGAGCCTATAACACAACGTGTTCATGTGAAGACAGATGCCTATTAAAACAATTTAGTACGTTGAATACAAACAACTATATTTGAAGACGAGAGTGTGGAACATATAAATAAGATATTTTTCTAGGCTGTAAGTTCTGTAACCTTCTGAAATAAGGGCTGTCAAGCAGATTTGTGGATTTGATTCCAAAGCCACAGGCTTATAATATATTATATGAAATCTAAGCAAAACAAAATTTGCCAAAAGCCATACTAGCACGGTGGTGAAGGCATCTATAGAGATGGGGTGAATTTAGAATTCAGTCCAATCATATAAAGAAGCAGAAAGACCAATAGAAAGTTTGTTAAGATTTTTAAGAACTTATGAATTAAGCTTAATTTTCCCCTACTCTGATTTTCTCTCACAAAGTTGGTGAGTGGAAGAACAATTTAGTATCATTTCGTTCTGTAAAGCTTCTTAAAGAAAATTTCAAGGTATTGTCATGAACAACAGTGTCGTATTATTCATGGTTTATAAATTATCCTGCAGAGTTTGTCAACAGGAAAAGGAAGAAGCTTTGATAGATCTTGGTTGCCAATGTCGTGGTGGGCTTGCAAAAGCACACCTTTCATGCATAGGCACTTGGTTTCGTACAAGAGGTTCAAATAAATGCGAGATATGCCAGTAAGTTGTCCACTACATTGGTTCATGACTAACTTGGGCTTAGTTCTGAATGATATCATAATGTGATCCATCATGGTTATCATCATCATTACTGTTATTATTATTATTTATTTTTGCAGAGAAGAAGCTGTAAACGTGCCTCCTCCAGAATCCCAACCAAGTGTAGGTACTCTGTATCTTTGACTGTAAAGGTTTAGGATGAAATTTGAGGCTGTGCAAGTCTTTTGTGTCCATAAATGTTGAATATGCATGGTTTTAGCCTTGCAGTTCCAATGTTTCTCATCTTTCATTGTTGCAGTTCGTGTAATATTATGTAGCCCAAAGTTATAACTGGGCTAGATTCAGTTCATAAGTCCAGTGGTTGGTTCTTGGTTGTATGACTTCACCATCCTGGCTTTAATAATAAGTACCAATAATATTTAAAAAGTTACAAGGATGTTTTATGGAATTTTTTTTATATTCTTCTATTTTTTAGTCTGGTCTGAGTTGCAGTTCCAATGTTTCCATGTAGTTCGTCTCAATCTTTCATTGTTGCAGTTCGTGTAATATTATGTGGCCCAAAGTTATAACTGGGCTAGATTCAGTTCATAAGTCCAGTGGTTGGTTCTTGGTTGTATGACTTCACCATCCTGGCTTTAATAATAAGTACCAATAATATTTAAAAAGTCACAAGAATGTTTTATGGAAAAATCTTTGTATTCTTCTAAATTTATGCATGGTGTCAGTATACCTGAAATATAAATAATTTTCTGTTTCATATGGCACTTTGCTTCTGCTAGGAGTCCTTCCAAAATCCAAGAAGTCTAGTCTGGTCTGGGTCGCATGACACTGGTCTGCAGACCTTATATCACAATTCACATAGATATAAAATTGGACTTGATTAAAAGATGCGACCAGGTGTACAAACACTGTGAATCTATGTGTGGTTACACATCACCTTCGCATAGCCTGGTAATACAGAAACATTAATGATTAATGATAAGAACCATAGTAAGATTATTGATGTTCTTGTTAGCATATTTGTAGAATATCAAGATTACTGTCTGATTTTTTACTATTTTGTGTTTGAAGCAGATGAGTTACTGGGTTTGGAGGGTTGACCCTGCATTTAGAGGGTCTACTGTTCCGCAAGAACGTGAAAGGGTAAGGAGGTTTCATGCAGCCAACACCGTGCAATCTCTTTCATTTAGAAAGCTATGTTTCATTACTTTGAGTTCTCATTCATTTTCTTCTATAACAGGGTTGTTTTACTCCACTTTGGGTAGCATTCTCAATCCTTATTGGTGGTCTCTTGCTAGACGTGTTGATATCAGTCACCCTTGGTGTATCTGCACTGCCAGTGAACATTATAATTGGTACATAAATTTTATATGTTGATATGAGATTACAAACAGTTTTGAACTCGCATGTGTGGATGCCAATATTAAGCATCAAGACACATTGTACAGGGGTTATTGTTGTGCTGGGGCTTGGAACCGCTCTTCGGCTGGCATTGGACTTCTGCCATGAGTGGAGTGTAAGAAGAGTTGTGCAAACGGTGGAAACAAATGCGATTCCCGGCTACCATCCTGCTTTATAGGTAAATTTGTACATGAATCGGAAAAGAAAATTGTTCAATGTAAAAAATCATTTCACTGTTGCTTGCTTTGTGAGGGGCACCATTTTCCGGTCTCTACTTTCTGTTGTTGATACACCATGATTTTGTGTGGGGAAACATGATTCCCAATTAAATATTTTCTTTCAACTAGCAGTGTGATGCCTCTCAGTTGTTGCTTTACTGATAATATATTTTAGGTTGCAATATCAAATTCATTTTGTCCCCTTCCCAAGCAATTGCCAACGTAACGCATGATTTCAGCATCTTTGCAATGTTAAACTGCAGATGAGTATAATATCATATCTTCGAGAAGCCTAATTGTAAGTTTAATATTATTTATCAGTTACCTTTGATAGTTGATCAGGAATGAACAAAGGCAAACTTTTTGGGCGTGACAATATGGGTCACCAATCAGGGACGGATTTAAAGGGGATTTAGCACTCAACTTTTTTTTATTTTTTTTTATTTTCATTTTTTTTTATTTATTTATTTCCATTTTGCACAAATTTCTTTATAATTATAAAACGAGTAGTGATATTTGCCCCTATCATTTTCCTTAGCCTTCATTTGGTTAGATAGAATCAATGAGAAAAGAAAAAAAATATAAAATTTTGAAACTTTTTAGGAGTTTGGTCAGATAGAAAATGAAAAGTATTAGAAAATTAAGGATTCTCTTAATTTGTAACTCTGAAAACAGTTTACAAGAATTCAGAAAATAGAAAACTTTTATAACTGAGTTTTCAGAAAATGGAATTTTTTGTACAGTTTTCAGTTTTCTGTTATAAAAGTGTTCTGAGAGTTATAAAACAAGTAGGCTTTAAAATTTTCGTAACTTTCTATTTTCCAAATTTCATTTTAGCGCGAAACCGACATCTTTTTAATTTTTTCCAACAACTTCATTGCATTATTTTACACAACTTTATGGTATTTTTTTTACTGGGTTTCAAAGAATTGCAATCCAACAACAACTTTATCACCAATAGGGTTTTAATTAACTTGATTTTCATTTTTAGTTGTTTTAAAAATAAATTGTAGTTTTCAAGGTCTAAATTAATTAAAAATTCTATCATTTTTTTTTTATATATACAACCTACTAATTAATTTTTTTATTATTTTACCATTTTTATAAAATAAGGACAATTTAAGTATTTAAACTATAACATGATATTTTTTTACAATTTTTTAAAATAAATTTTCATCTTCACCAAATACATATTAAAAATTTACTTCTTTTTTTTTTTTTTTCATTCACTTTTCTTTTTCTTTTTCATTGTCTTTCTTTTCTTACTGTTTTCATCACGGAGCCTTATAAAAATGGTCGACAGTTTTTAGTCTTTGCTTTAGCCTCCTCCTTTTTTTTTTTTTTTGTCACCCTTTCTGCCGACCTTTAACCTTTTCCCCTTTTACGGACAAAGTAGACAGGGAATCTTGAACGCCTTTCTTGACAATGTTTATAGTTGCATGTTAGTTTTTAATTGTAGAAGTGTTTGAACTTGTATATTCTTTATCTACCAAGAGTGTTATGTTTAAACTAAATTATAATAGTTGGAGAGGGGAATTTGAACATTGACACATCTGTTCAGGAAGTTAAACGCTTTATAATTTAAACCCGTTATAATAAAGTGATAACAAGACGTATAAGTGCATCATCAATTTGATCCTTAATAATGATGCTATTAGACTCCACACACACGCGCATATATATATATATGGTGCATCAACAGTTTGATTCTTGATAATGACGTCATTAGATGATAGTGGTAGTAAATTATCTTAATATTATTTGACATTCTTACAGTTATGTAAGGTTTGTCAATATTATTGGACTTCCTTAAAATTCATAAAAAGAGTAATGAGTTCTTTATATATAAATATTGAATTAAGACACTTTTTTGAGATTGGTAAAAATTCAAATGAATCGTTTAATATAACTTTTAATTTATTAATTAAAATAAAGAGTTCATGACTCTTTTTCACCAGATAGCTCTCTTGAGAGCATCATTGTGATATGTATAACTAATTTTTTTTTGCTCTCATAGAGCCTCACGGGCATACAAATAATTTACAATGTCAATAGAAAAGGTGAAAGATTTTAAATACTTATATATTGTATGATAATTCAACTTAACACTTAAATCTGAATAAATAAAGAGTTTTATCTAATTACGTACATTTGTAAAGTAATTTGAATATTACTTAAAATGAAATAAAATTCTATTGGGTTCTCATCTATCTCTCATAGTGTAAGGTGTCTTCATAATAATGGGGACAAACGGGAATTTACCGCTTAAAACTTTAAGACTTAAATTTTTGCTACTTAATTTTTTATTTTATTTTATCAAATAACAACTTAATTTTTAATTTTATCCGGCATCCATTTATTAATAAAGAAAAAATAAATTAAGTGTTTTAAAGCAATTAAGTAAAATACTTAATTAAAAATCTAAAGAAAAATACTACCTAATAAACTCTATCTCATTTTAAGGAAATGCATTTGAAACATTTTTCTTTCTAATTATAACAATGGTAAGTTAGTTATAATTTAAGTCACATAACTTTTTTAAATTAATGATAAATAATTTTACGTAATCCTCCTTAACCAATGTAACTTTCACATTTTCAAGCACATCATATGTGACTAAATTTTTATTACTGTTGCGGTCATGAATTTCGGTTTCTGTTTTTATCTCGGTCTGAGTTTGGACAATGAAGAATTGATTTGGAACAGAATAATGAGTTCACGTGTAGTCTTGTTAGTATCCAAATCAGGAGTGGGATTTTCCCTAAATTTATAATAATGAGATTTGGGCCACTTGGCTGCAGCATTTCCTCACACGGGGCTGGGTCGGGTCAGAGGGCCCATTTCCCCTTAAAAAAAAATCACTTTCCCAAACACTGTAGTAGCACTGTTAGTAAAAACCAATTCGAGTTGAAGAAGAAGAAGAAAAAGAAAAGGTGGTCGCTTTATTTTTCGTTCAGTGTTGGTGAGAGATCTAATCTGTGAAGTGTGTGTGCGAAGATGGTGGCCCTTTCGACGGAGTCACTCCCTCTGGGTTTCAGATTCAGACCTACTGACGAAGAGCTCATAAATCACTACCTCAGGCTCAAGATCAACGGTCGTAATTCTGAGGTCGATGTCATACCCGAAATCGACGTCTGCAAGTGGGAACCTTGGGATTTGCCAGGTATCTATGCATCTCTACACCCATATATATATATATGTATATATATGCGCGCGCACACACACCCTCATAGATTATACGTTCTTTTCCTGATTCGATTCCCCAATTTATCTCCTATTAAAGAAAATATGCGAAAGAAACAAAAAAGAAGAAGAAGGAATTTACTCGAATCAGTCGATTCGTTTTTTCTAATGGAATTTATCTTTGTATATATACTTCCTAATTTTGGGATAAAATTGTTTTGTGCTTTAGATAAGAAATTGGTGTTTATTATGCTTTGATTTCTCTAAGTGGTTTTGTGTGTGTATTTTTTAGGGTTATCTGTGATAAAGACAGAAGACCCAGAGTGGTTCTTCTTCTGTCCGCGTGATAGGAAATACCCAAATGGGCATAGGTCCAACAGGGCTACTGATGCTGGTTACTGGAAGGCCACGGGTAAGGATCGGACCATTAAGTCTTCCAAGTCGTTTTCGACTTCCAGCCGCTCCAACGGCCACTTGATCGGCATGAAGAAGACTCTGGTGTTCTACAGAGGCCGTGCTCCCAAGGGCAAGCGCACCAACTGGATCATGCATGAGTATCGTGCCACCCAAAAAGATCTTGATGGCACCAGTCCTGGACAGGTCTTGATTTTTCCACATTTCTAACATCAATGATTGCGTAAATTATCCTGTTCTTGCCATGCTGTTAATTTTATTGTCTACAATTGATACTTGCTTGGACATTGCTAGTTATTAACCTGCTGTGTCACACTGTATTGTTAGTAATTCCTACTTGCTTGGATATTCATAGTTATTATTAAGCTGCTGTGTCACAGTGACATTTGTTGTTTCATTTCAGCTCTGATGAAGCATTTGAAATTACCACTTTAGCTGATGAATCATTTTATGGAATTTGTAGTCTTTTGGGGGGCTTAACTGATTCAATTATTAACCTGCTGTGTCACACGGACGTCTGTTGTTTCATTCCAGCTTTGGTAAAGCATATGAAATTCCCATGCTCCTTTAGGTTCTTTGAATTTATAGTTCCTTCAGGGCCTTAATATGTTATATATGTTTGTGTATTTCTACCCTTCTTCGGATCATTCTTTAGCTAAGAATCTTTGAAAATCATAAACACAAAAGTGGATACCTCTTCTTTCCCTTCACGCCTATCTTTTTCATGCTTCACTTGTTCACATAATAGGTTTATGATCTTTAACTCCCATTCTAGCCAAGATATATTGGGATGTTGAAAAGTTCAAGCGTTCTATATATGTGTTGGCACTCTAATGTGAAAATATTCGAGGTCTGTTCGATGGGTTTATGTCCCTTTAGTCCTTGCTCTTTTTCCTTGCTCTCCATAAGACTAATGTCTAACTATACAATTACACATCTTAGGAGGGATTTGAATCTTTTGATTATTTGTTGACAGATAGGATATGCTGATGAAATTTTACATCTCAGTATTTCACTCACTTAGAGAGCAACATCTAAGGTAATTTTCTTTCTCAAGAGCAAAGAAACTTACCTTTATCAATGCTAGACAAATGATGCTCTAGTTTTTTTATTAGTCTACAATACTGTGAAATCTGAGATCTCTGTGGAGTTCTCTAGATGCGTCAGTCCCTCCCTTGCCTGGTACTCAAACAATCCGCTCCTTGAGACTTTGTGATCACATCATTTATATACTTTCATCAAACTCTAATCACTTTAATCATTGAATTCATTTCTATCTGTGGTATGCTTATTATTTATGTTGGAATCAAGATTAATATATTCATTTCAACTTGTTAACGTGAAATGTTTTCGATGAATGGGAAGAAATTTGTTGCTGCCATTTGGAGCAGTGACTTATCTTTCCTAAAAGCTTAACATTTCTGCTGTTTATAGAAGATATTCTATCAAGATCGCTGATGATTTCTAGATTGATGTTGCAGGAAGGATTAACAAGGGATTTTAAAATAAATTCATGTGTGTCTTTTGTACAAATAATTTTTCTTATACTCATTACTAATTTAAAGAATTTGAATTCATATCTCATTGTTCTGTCCAGTTGTATGAGCAGTAAACAATTAATTCTCAATTATATTCCTGGAAGTTTTGGATTTTTTATTTATAATTTTTGCTTCTTTTACATGGCACAGGGGCCCTTTGTTCTCTGCCGGTTGTTCCACAAGCCAGATGAGAAGGATGAGGTACTGAAGGATGATGAAGTTGAACCCGCTGCCTTGTCTCCTATGACAACAAAATCCTCTCCTGATGACACGTCGTTAGTTCTCTTTCAAGACACACCAATGCTCGATGTGGAAACTCGAACGCAACCAGAAGGAATTAAGAGGTGGCTTACGGACAACTCTCACAACGTGACCCCTAATGCTCTTGTGCATGTTGGGAGCTGCATTTCTGATGCTGATCACTCAGAAGAAACAGCTACTGAGGTGATAATAGTTCTAAAGATTAAAATCTTTGTTGTAGCAGTAATCTATTATCCATGCAATCTCACTTCTTTTGATGAAGCTCATTAACCAGAGTTTTGTTTTCTGGATATTTATCCTCAGTTGTATCCAGGAGGAGATTCGATGTTCTTTGAGTCTACATGTGGTCAAATTGATTGCAAAGTCTTCTCCCCATTGCAATCTCAGATTCACACAGAGCTAGGGCCTTTCTCAGGTTCCCCCTTTTCCAATGATTTCGGCAATGATCATAGTAGATTTGATTTTCGGGATGGTACCTGTGAACAGGATGTATCCTTCTCAGAGCTGTTGGAAGTGTTTCCGAACCATGATCAGAACTCTTGTGAAGATTCAAACAGTGGCAAAAACTCGACTATTGAAAGTGATACCCAAATGTCTGGGTACTTTTCCCTGTTACAGCATGGGTTGCCTGGGAACTCCTATCTTGAGGACAGAGGATTTTGCAGTGACATGGACGCTAACATAAATCGAGCGCAGGTAAAAAATGCTTCCAGTTGTTTGTGAACCACTACATTAGTTTATTACATAGTCGTATTAAACACCAAAATTTAAGTTGATGGTTGTGTAACCTCCACATCTCATATGGTTGAGTGGAAGTTATTGTGTTAAGACAAATTCTGATCTCTAGAATATTGTTTTGGAATGGTCAATTGGTAGTTATTATGTTAAAATACAAATTCTGATCTCTAGGTCTATGTCCATGCTGATGTCATGGATTTCTTGCAGATGCAAACGTCCCTAAGATCTGGTCAAGTTCATCCTTCACCTTCTTATGGTGAGCTCAGAATGGATGATACGGGTGTTCTTTGTGATGATTCTCCTGGACAAGATGCTTCATCTGCTGATTCCATTATGGGTTCATCCCAAGGTTTTGTCAATAATCTTGAATTATCAAGTAGTCAAACAAATCCTGATAATTATGGCAGCGATCCTGTTAGAGGAACTGGAATCAAGATTAGGCCTCGCAAGTCACAGAACCAACCATGTACTGAAAACTTTGGGACTCAGGGCATTGCCCCGAGAAGAATCCGTTTGCAGACGAACCCATCACCTGTATCAGTATGTTCTTTCCAATCAGGAAGTGCTAGCGGCTACAGCAAAGAACAGGAAGCACAATCAGCCTTTGTGGAGGTGAGTTTCATTAAATATGATTTATGTCCAAACCTTAAAGAACGCTATCAAAGTAATGAACTTGTTTGTAGAAACTCAGTAAAGTCCGAATGAGAAAGGCTGCCTAAGTGTGACAACTGAGCTCAAGGATATTTAGAATATTTAAACCAGTCATTTACATGGAGATATTTTATAGCTGCTCTTTTTACAAATCTTTTGACAGCAACAATTGTTTCCTGAACTTTGGAGTGTAGAAATTTGAAAATACTGATTTGTCTCTTGTTAACTCTTTATAAACAGGCCAGAGAAGGTGCAGAGCAAACCGATGAGAACGCGGAAACTGCTCAAGAATCCAATGCTATAATACAGAAATTGAGGGTGAAACAGGAAGATGAGATAAGCAACTGCCTTAAAGGTTTGTCCCTGCTGTCAGTAGCTCCAGCTAGACGTGGTTTAAGTTTTCCGTCAATTTATATAATTACTATATCTGTAGTTATGATCCTGTTCGTAGTCTTAATTGGGTTACGGAAATGTCTTAGATCTTGACGTTGTATGGATAAAATGTACCATGTTATGTTCTTGTTTATTATGTTACGGTAGAACGAGGGCTAGGATCTGTAAATTGCAAGCTTGCTTATGTACAATTCAGTATAGGTTGTATAATGAACAATTATTTATATATATATATATATGTGTGTATTTGTTTAGTTTTTCATAGCAACTGTCCATTTAAGCATTTTGTCAGGTATTCAAGATTCATGTTGAACTGACACTCCTTGGGCCTTGGTATGTAATTTTGGAAATTCTTACAAATTCTTTTTCTTGCCTCATGTGTTTTGGTTTGTTCAGAGACTGTTTTTAGCATTCAAATATATATATATATATATATATATATATATATATATATATAGTCCTAATCTCTTGCTCCCCATGGAGTAAGAAATTAATCCATATTTTCTATATAGACCGTTATATTAAATTTAATGGTCATTTTTCAAACTCACTTTTGACCTTTCCTTTTAACACAAAACTAATCTCACCCTATTTTTAGTTTCTATATTTAATTTTACCATTATCTCCATATCTTTGTGCGTTGAATTTGAATCCATGGATAAAAGTGTGGACAAATGATTACTCTCAATGGATAAGGTTGTGAAAAGAGTTTCACCCATTTTTTTAAGGTTGTGAAAAGCGCTTCACTCATTTTTTTTGGATTACCTTGTTGTTTCTGAGGTGGATTCTACAATCCCACCATAGTCAGTACATCATCATCATCCAATAATCAAACTCACAAATTTACAAATTCAATAATGAATTTTATCAAATGTTTAACTTCAAATTGAAATAGAAAGAATTTTTGTTCAAACTTTAAAAGAAATTTTCTTCAATTTCAAGTCTAATAAATCAATTTGATATTCCAAAATGCAATATTACAGTATATTTGTTGGTAAATTTACTTATACTAGAGAAGTATATTAATTTACTTATACTTAGAACAATAAGATTTTTTAGAAAAATGTCCGGTCAAACCTCGTTAGCAGATGACTTTCTTTATCCAATTAAGAATGTTATAGGCTTATTGAGGTTATTGAAAATGGTTTATTGGGTGGGGTCCACGTGAAGCTACGTCTCAATTGTCTAAATGGCTAGGACGGTCCACGCTGGTTTGGGCGCACAGAATTAGACCTTATAGTAGTATAGTACGACACCAGTCAGGGTTGAAGACCAAGCACCCCAGAGCTTCTGATTTCCTTTTTTGAGACTGGCAGGGGCAAAATTACCATGTTATTAACCCGATCGCTTCTTGCGGAAGTGCCTACCAAGTCAAGGAGGGCTTCACATTCATTCTGAAAGCGCCCCATAGCTATAGCTCTTGAAGATGATTAGGTTTCGAGGGAGGAGAGGGCCTATATGCATAAGACATGCATATTTGAGTGCATATCCTCTTTGACCAGCAGTTGTTGAAGTATAGCTTGCTGCTAAGAGATAAGGAGTGAGAGAGTTTCTCCTCTTTGATTAGTAGGCGGTCTTAGGGACAGTAATAGGGAAAATCCCAATTGAATAATCCACATGGAAAAAGAAAGAAAATAAGGGGCTATTCCATCTGAATAAGATCTACGACCAAGCTTGCTTCGTTTCTCTGGTAGTTTCAGGGTAGACCAAGCCAATTATAATAAAAAGGCCGGACCCCTCACTCCAGCAGCTTCTAAGGCATTGTTTTATTGTAACCATCCTTTCAGGCTGGCTTCCTTAAGTTTAATTGAGAATCGGATCTTAGCCGCTGTGTAGGACAAGTTTCACACCTTTTTGAGATTTTTCTTCTTTTTGATGTACGGCAATGAAAGAGCCTTTAAACTCACGTTTGGGGGACAAATAGCTCCCTCCCCATTCCTCTACCTTTGGTCAGTATCCTTTGGAATGGAAGAAATGAACCTGCTGGGGACTGTGAGCAAGTTTCTACTAAGCCTACCTTAATTTCAGCATTTGCATTTGAAGCTAGATTTGAATCACTTGATCCGCGTGCCCCCCCAACTAACTTACATTCTTCATGTAAAAAGCTCCGTGAGTAAGCTTATAGACAATCCTTGAGATCAAAGATATCCCCATAAAATGGATTATGGAATGGATTTTGATCTTGACTAGCCATTACAAGGAGCAGAGTGATCCCTTTCCTTCACAAGGAAGTAGTCTAAGGTAAGCGGCAGCATTTCCTTCATTGGTCTACTCCGCTTACTAGCCCCGCTTTAGCCCTAGGTCTCGTTAGCTGTTCTGCTATTTCGACCGATCCCAACTTCTAAAACCCCCGTATTTTGGGCACACGCGCGACACTGTTTACTTGAAACCCCACGCTTGGAGGCCAAGATTGGGGGGGATCCTAGAGAGAGAGGGTCATCTCGTGCAAAAGGCTATCAAATTGACATACCAGTAAGAGTTTACTATAGGAAGTGGCCAAGTTCTAAGGAATTGATTCTACACAAAGATTTATAGGGATTTCCAACTATGGAATACAAGCTCACTAATCTGTTGGGTCAACGGGATAAGTCCCCGTTGCTTGATCCCTCGTCTTTCCCTTTGAGGAAGCGAGTGAAGAGGTGTTTCTGCCATTTCTTGCTGTAAATTCTTTAGAAGGTTCTTCGGGAAGATCTGCGAGAAGGGGGCGGGCGCCTTCGGAGGATCATTGGTTGGAATCCTTCATTTTCATATTGATTTAGTAGAGATTAATGAGAATATGAAGAAGTTAATGCAATGAGCTTTAGCCTACTTTATTGTAGGTTATTTTGTGTCAAAAATCCCCCTATTTACCAGAGATGGGGGTAGGCATGCAGTGTACTATCAAACAGAAATCGAAAAGAGAAGTTTGCTTCTCGTTGTACTTGTTTTCTCTCTTGACTTCCGCTCTTTGTTTTCATCACTTGATCCGTCTAGCACCTTTTTGCACATTAGCTCGAGGCATTGTTCGTTCGCTCTCCCTCTCCCGCTTCACCAGGTTTGACCACGTACTATCAGTAATCTTAGTGAATCTTTGAGTTTGATCCTGGCTCAGGATGAACGCTGGTGGCATGCTTAACACATGCAAGTCGAACCATTTCTTTCTCTAGATCGAAGTCCTAAAAGCATCCCTCTATCTATATCAGTCCGATCCTGTGATTCTGTCTTTACTCCCTCGCTTTTCTTTTCCAATCTCTCAGAAACTCGGATATCTCATTCCATGTCCTTCCCTGCAACACTATTCATCGATCAGGCAAGCTCAAACTAAGTAACGAGCTAGCTTTGTTAATCGCTCCTGAACTCGTGCTCATAACTAAACGCGTATATAATGCCGCAGTTGCCAACCTTTTGGCAGTGGAAAAGAGCTAGTTCCATTTCTGCTAGTAGATGTTAACAAATCACCTTCTCAGATTGACACCTACATAGGGCACAACCCTTGCTTTCACTAGGCTTTATGCCTATAATGACTGGTAAGCGTAAATCAACCTATCGTATCGACGAGTACCTCTGTTTTAGACTTGTCTCTTCCCATTTCCCTTCGAAAAGGTAAACGTCTTTGATCTTTCAAAGTTGTAAGTCAACGTGTCTTTGATGCCACTCATACAGGAGGCCCTTCTTTGTGTGTGGTTAAAAGCCATACTTAAATATGAAGGTCTCTGCTCCCGAGCAATGATGCGGGGATCTACTAACCAATGCAACTGGTAGGGGTTTTGTAGAACGATAGGTTACCATCTTCCTTCAGTCTTTCGTTTGTCTTCCAGGTCTCTTTGTGTGTAAAGTTTTGGTTGGTAGGGTCCTACCGTGTGAATCAGTTGCAGTTGGTTAAGTTTATATTCTAAGGGAAGGGAGGGCTTTCGAGCAATCAGTTAAGCTCTTTCTGTATTAGTTAACGGTTAAGCGATATCTCTATTAAATAGATCTCTTTTTTCCTTTCTAACTGTACTACTTGTGAGTAAGGGACTCTTTGAAGCAAGAAAATGGATACGCGTTAGCCGGAGAAAGGTAGCTAGCTCAGTAGAATATATTATATTAAGAGAAGAGGAGTGAAAGGCAGGCGAAGCCATAAAAGATAGGCAGGCAATCCGTCCACGAATACCGATTCCTTTAGAAATAGATCTTCCTTTCCTGTATCAGTCTGGTAGCCTTCCCTTTCTCGGTCTAGCATTCCGCGGTGCAGTCAATCAGTTAATCGATATCTTCTTTCGCTAAGTCCCCGGAATCAAACATCAATTCTATGGCTGTGGTTACAAGGGGACAAACAAAAGGAAATCAATCTCTCGGGTGGTTTTCCCATTGAGTCATCCCTCTTCAATTTTCCTCTATTGGAACCTGCGCCACTAGACACACGAACTCTTCAAGAAAAAAGCAAACTTGGTGCTTCACTCTCGGCCGAAGCGTTGTCTTACTACGTTGTTACGGATCTGAACTCCGATAATATATCTTGACTACTATTAGCTCCTTTCTTACCATAATCTGTGTGTCCACTTCTTGAGTCAGTCAGTAATGTACTAGCTATTCCTCCCCTCTCCTCCTGTTTTCTAGAGACAACCTTGGACTTAGTGCATTGCACGTTCCAATACAAGTGAGATCAGGTGTTGAATTACGGAAAAACAGACTGGATACCTATCCTTATAACTCGTCGGAACACATTCCAGTTTTTGATGAAAGCGAGGTGGTGCTGGCACAACTAGTTCAACGCAACCCCGGTAGTCAGAGGCTTATTTCATTTATTGATGCTCCGTATATTCGTCTAAACAAAATCTTTACATCTTATAAGTCAATATGACGAATTCGAAAGAGCTCATAAACAAAGGAAAGACGGGCACAGCAAGACGACAAAACTAGGAATCGTCTCACAGATTTCGTACCCAACAACCAAGTTCTTCTTCTTGAACTTTGTGGGAAGCCAGCTTTTAAGAGGGCTCTGACCGAACCCAAGTGGCCGTACCCACATTAGCCAATGTCACCGACCACGGAGTGGTGGAAGCTTGTCTTGAGGTTGACGTAGAAAGGGTTGGCTGGCCAAGCACTTCGTTACACGCTGCGGGCCAGTATGCGCTGTCCCTTTACGCGGGAAGGACAAATAAGCTGTCAGATGAGGGAAATACCACGGGAAATGACTTAGAGCCTCACCCAGTTAAGGAATAAAGGGAATATGCAAAGACTTACGCTATATGAAGCAGAGCGTTCGTACCCCAGCCAATTAGATGGGGTCCTCCCTACCAA